ATTAGAAGAGAAAGATGGTGTTTTTTATTTCACATTCACTCATTCTCAGCAATATCAATCTGTCCAGTTGTCTTTTATGCAGTGTGTCGCTACACATGGTATGTTTCATAATATATCTATCCTTTATATTACAATAATATTGATTCTTTATATCACAATGATATTGATTCTTTATAACAATATTGATCACATTATGTTAATTATATAAATTCTATAGATCCAAATACTATTTATGCTCTTCTACGGGATAATCCATATCATATAGATTCATTATTACAAATGAGTGATATTTACAAGATGTCTGGTGACTTGGTTATGGCACAAGAATTCCTAGAACGTGCTTTGTACTCATTTGAAAGAAATTTTCATATAAAGTTTAATATTACAAGAGGAACTTCTCGAATGAGTTATAAACGTTATGAAAATAGGTACTTACCTTTATACATAATTATACTCTAACATAATTATATTTTAATATTATAAATTCTAATTAACTTTACATCTTAAATTTATATCAGGTCATTTTTTCTTGCCTTATTTCGTCACATACAATCATTATCACGTCGTGGATGCTGGCAAACTTCCTTTGAGTTCACTAAACTTTTACTTTCTTTGAATCCAATAAATGATCCTTTATGTACGTTGCGTTTTATTGATTATGTTGGATTAAAGGCTCGTCAATATTCGTATGTACTATCTTTGCCAAATGATTGGAATTATCATGATTTAAAAAATTGGCCAAATTTTGCTTATTCTGCTGCATTGGCTCAATTTCAATTGGAGCTACAGAAGGATAGCAAGAACCCTGTAAATATATGCTATTTAATTATTATATTAATCAGTTAAATTTAATAATAATTAGCATATTGATCTTAAAAACTTCTATTTTTTTGAAAAATTTTGTTATTATATAGAAACATGATGTTAGCACAGCAATGTTGGAAAGAGCTGTTTTATACTTTCCTTCAATGATACTGTTGTTGGTCGAAAAATGTGATATTCAACTTGATTCTGATGTTGCCGAGGATCCGTTTCTTCAAGAAACGTATGTATGATAATTTATAAGTAATTTTATATATTACACTTTATTACAATCATTTAAACATTAATATTTATTTTATTTTATGTTTGGTTAAATTATTCGTAACTTTAATTATAGACCAACTTCAGACTATCTATGTTTATTGATAGATCTTTATGTGGATCTAGCTTCATCATTATGGGCACAGCCTGAAGTACGTTTTAGTAAAACTCTTACTTAATTTTTATTTTTATAAGTGCAAATGTTAATAGAATTATTATTTAGGTTATTAGTTGGCTACAAACTGCTTTATTCAACGTATTTGTAAAACAACAAATTCCATCTTATAAAGGTTTGTAAATATACTTGATGTTTTTGTTTTTGACTTTAAAATAAACTAGAATAAATCATTGAACATATAATTTGAATATATTATATTACATTTAATCTATCATTTAGCTTGTTTAACTGATGAGTATTTTGAACTGATCTTTAGACTGGGTTTGTTTTTATTAGACATTTTTACTCCTAATTTATGCCCAGGTATAAGTCAAGATTTTTATATAATGTTATTGAAGTACTGGGTCTTAATCTGGGGTAATGAATGCAATGCTCTACGGCAATTTCTTCTCTGTTTTAAACATCTAAATATGTAAATAAAGAAATTACTTGGAGTTGTATAATTATATAACTTTATTGAAATATCAGGGTTTTTTCTTTTGTAACAATAATTCATTTTAATATTCTATATTTATTCGCAATTAATGACAACTATTTAAATTCTAGAATAAAGAATCTATACAAGTTTTTACTAAATATTTATTATTTTAATTAAAAAATTGCAATCAAAATAGACAATATTAACTAGATATTTTGTATTAAATTATTCTCCATGCGTTTCATTCGCCTCTTCATTATCATGATTAGCGATTAATGTATCTACATTTTCTGATTCCTGTCGGATTAAAAAAAAATATAATTATTGAATTATTGTAACAGCTATTTAATGTTTTAGTCAAGTACGTCATAAATTAATATGACGGATTTGAAGAATTTGACCGTTATCTAAATAATTAAATCGATTTTTTCTACAGATTCGGTTCAATTGTAACAATATTGGGATTGAATATTGATAATATAATTTGGAGTATTTAGATTAAGATCAAATTCCGCAAATCCATTGAATTATTATAAGCACTCAAAAATATTTGTGTACGATATATATTTGATCAAATTATATGCATTTATAGAAGTATCGACACTTATTAATAGTCAATTAAAATAACGAAAAAAAAACTTACATTAGGCTCTTGATTAGACTTAGACTACTTTATCTGTAACTTAAACTTACCAGAGCTTTTTGGTATCTGACCTGAATATTTGTATAATACTTCTGTTAATCAATTTCTTATCCATAGATTTTCTATATTTCTTATGCTAACAACACCATACTTTCAGCTTGATACTCAGTGCGGCATCCATTACAGATCTCATTAAGAAGTATCTAGCAATTATAGTCTTATAGTTACTTCTAATGTTGATGTTATTGTTTTGTATAATGTTGATCATATGCATATAAGTCTTGCTAATAGATACTCTTCAAATTGGTATATTATAGGATTGGGTGTTGAAACTTCTAACCAAGTTTTTTATGACAGTGTCACTTCCAAATCAAGGATATTTTAACCTCTTGGTACTAACTAATATTGATATTCCTTATATTATATTTATATTACTACTTCTAGTTAAGTACAACTCTTGCTGTTTCTTGTTATATTTTAAACAAATTCTAAGTGTTTGCTAATCTTTCTCTATTTAGTAATCCATTTCTTAATCTGATATTATACAGAATATCAGAGATGTTTTCAATATTGGTTGTACCAATTCTTTACCACAAGTTATTCTTATATTTATCACTTTTCTTAATATTCTAGTTTTGTTACTATTATATTACTCTTTTAAGCAAGTTCTCCAACTGTTGAAGATGTTGGTGCTGTTCAAGTTACCTTTATTCTACCTAATACTAAAAAGTGATTATTTATCATAGTTATTTAGAACCTGCAAATTAGGTTTCCATATATGTAATGTAATCTAAATTTCTATATAGAATCTTGCAAAGTAGATTATATTTACATAATATATATATATTTAATTTATTTATCTGTTTAACTCTTATTATAATTGTAAAAAATAGTTAGCTCACCCACCCATCTTAATAATAGTCAAAATTGTAAAATTTGTTATTAACCTACCCATCCACCCCTACCCACCCACTCTTAATAACATTAATATTAATACTAACTTAATATTAATATTAATATTAATGAAATTTTAATGTTAAAATTAATGTTAACATTAATGTTAATGAAATCTTAATGTTAAAATTAATGTTAACATTAATGTTAATATTAAAATTAATGTTAATATTAACATTAAATTAACATTAATGTTAATCTTAATATTAAAATTTATTACATTACATCTGTACTTCTAAAATCAATAACTGATATAATTTTGATCTATCAATTAAATAGGTTATTCATAGAAAAAAATGTCCAGATTACATCATTAATGATGTATTCCAGTCTTTTTGATAAAGCCTGATAAATTATATATTACAAAAAATTAAATCAATATTAAATTAATATTTATTATTATCGTTATATTGATTTAATTTTTATGTAATATATAATTTATTAGGCTATATCAAGAAGGTCTGAAGAGATCATCTATGATATTAGCTAGACATTTTTTATTATGACTAATCTCTCTGTTCTTGACAACATTATTTACATATCAAAAATTGCATATCAGAAATTTTCATATAAATTTCCACATATACACTGATATATAAAAGACATATATATAATACTTTTTTATAATAATTTATTTTTTCTAATTCAGCTATCCTGTCCTTGTTTATTTGAGATCAAGTTATTCAAAA